CCATCAGCAGCAGCTGGTTCAGATGCACAAACAGTTACAGCAGCAAGAACTCCAGCAGAACTCGACAGCACCAGAACCCCACAAGCCCCTGCCCGTGAGTATATCCACACAATGTCAGGCATCATGGGGCTAATCCTCACTCTTACTCTATTCTGTAATAATTACGAAGTCATTATTTTTTTATTTATTTAAGAAGTAAAAAATAATTTCTTTTACAGAACACGGCCTCATCTGACTGCATGTCTAAGACTCTGGACTCGGCTAGTGCACACTTTGCTGCCTCTGCTGTGGTCAACACTCCCAACAATGAAAACAGGCCCCAGATTGCAAGTGTCAATGGCATCCTTTCTAATTCAGGCATGTGCAGCTCATTGGGAATTGAGCAGAGGCATTGAAATATAAAATAATCTTAATATGAAAATATGGCAGTAATATATTAAAATACATTTAAAAAAAAAAAAATAAAGCCATAAACTGCTTTATAGAACTTATTGGGGAATCATAGCAAAACTGTGACTGAAAACTTATTTTTTGGACATTTACATGACAATATCAATTGATTTGATTTGTTGATTTGATTTGTTATTTTTGTCTCTTGCAGGAAGTTTTAGACAAGCCAAATTGAACCGTTCTGCAGGTGGTGGCGAGTCAGGCTCTTTAGTACGGATGACGAGTGCATCTGGCCTTCAGCTGCCCGTGCCTCAGTCTCTGCCTCACGGCCACGGGCACCTGAGTACAGTGAGCGCTGTGTCTCCTGCCCACACACACCACAGTGCACGTCTGTGTGCCCCTTCACCCTCAGCCTTAAAGCTGGCCAGTGTTGCTAGCAGTCTGGACCGGGTACCCAAAGTCACCCCCACTAGTGCCATCGACATCGCCAGGTCTGAAACCTGAAACGGCACTTATTCACTTTACAATTGTTTTTCTTTTTTCTTTTTTTTTTTATGTTTGGGGGGAGGGTGAAAAATGAATTCAAGTATCTATATTTATGTATTACTTTCGGACTACAAAAGGAGATGTGTGTGTATATATATATATATATATATATATATATATATATAAAAACCTGTTCATGAGTGCTGTATATTTCAAAGTCAAAACATGGTGCTTTTGCACTTTCTACAGGCTCGCATTTTCAGAGAAGTTCACATTCAATAAAAAACACACATTTATGCCAAGCAATTACTTATGAACTACTGCTGATGAATTATGACAATGTTTACCTTGTGGTGTTAATATCATACCTCCAAACTCGTTGCATTTTTAAAAAGTAAAAATGCCTAGAAATCCCCAAAAAGTATCTGTGTACTTTCTTCACCGAGTTGAATATCTCCGGACAGGAACTCATTAATTTGTATCTTTATTCTACTGTATTTATTTGTGCTACTGCTTGTAATTTAAGCTAAGGGGGGCGTTGTGAGGCATGACGTGGATCGTTCTAAATTCACTATAAACCACTGCTTCACAGGGCTTATTACGGTTAGTCCATAAAAATATTTATTTTATATTATTTTATTCACAAAATAAACACACAGTAACAAAAAAATGTTTGTAGAGTAATTTACAGCAGCTTTGAACGTGACTCAACCAATCAGAATCCAGTACTGGAACTATCTGTTTTATAATTGTTCTTATTTTACTGACTGTTTGTAAAATCAGTTCAAAATTTGAAATCAAGCTTCCTTGTGCTGTGTGTAAGTGGTTGCACAAAAAACACAAATACATAGAGTGAGCAAACGACTAGGACTTAGGTGAGATAATTGTAATAAAATGAAGTCTATAAAAAGTAGTGCTGTCAAAATTAACATGTTAATGCATGCGATTAGTTTTTTCAGCATTGATTTTTTTTCTCGTCATCCTTTGGCTAGCATTACATTATATGATCACGCTCTTATTCATGCAAATGCTTTTAATCTTTTCAAGTGCGATAAGACACAAAAGAGAATGCAGTGCTGGCGCACATCTGTGTGACACACACGACTCATGCGCACAGAAAGCCGCTTCAGACAGCTCTTGAAAACACAAAATTATGCCAAAAGCCCGTTTTTATTCAAGTCTTAAATTAACGTAAAGAGTTGTGAGGAAATGTGTATCAGATCCGTGTCATGAACCATAATCACTGTTCTTGACTGAATAACTTCTGTAGCATTAAAAAGGATTAATCTAGATTTAATTTATAAATTATGCAGTGAAGAATGTGAAGTGCTTGATAACTTTATTCAATTTTTGAAATTCTTAAAGCACTGTTTGCAAGGTTACATGGGTCAAAAACAATGAAAACAATAACTTTTTGTGCATTTTGACAGGGCAAGTAAAAATCTGAACCGGTCTGACTGGGCCAATAGAAAAAATTGAGCCCTGATATATTGAAGGGCACAGGTAAATGTGACATTTATTATAATGGGTTTATGTGGAGATTGTTTTTATTTTACTTAAATTAAAAAGTTTTTTAAAGCCTAATACATGTTAAAATTGATAGCTTTCAATTATACCTATATAATTAATGGCTAAAATTGAGAAGAAAAAAACATTTCATAGAGACATCAGTAGCAGTATTGGTATTTGTAATACTGGCCTTTCAAAAAAAAAAAATGCCATTAAACAAATATTTTAAATATAGGCTACTGTCTTTATGTTGTTTCTATTAATTTGGAGATCAAATGTGAAATCATTTCAATATAAAAATATATATAAAAATGTTAGGTGCGATTATAAAATAGATTGACGGCACTGAAAAAAATACATTTTATTCTTTTTTTTTTTTTTTATGTGTATAGACTTTCATGGAACATTATGTTGTGAATATTTGCCTCAAAAGTCATGGAAATATATTGGTAAAAATGTGTGCGGACCCTGAAGTATTGTTCCTAAGAAACAAAGTCTTGCTAACCCCAAACTTTTGAACGATAGTGTCTTATATCTTTGAATTTATTTAAAATGAAAATGAAAACTTTAAATTCTATATTTGTATTGATCTTGCAGGGAGAATCACGAACCAGAGAGGCTGGCTCTCAACGGATTATCAGAGACCACAGTCGCCATGGAGGTCACATAGCCCATCAGAAACACAAAGACTTCAGTGCTGAGATCTGTGCGCTTCTACACGGACCTATACCCAAAAGCAGCATATCAAAATATTAAGAGAAATTTGTCAATATTATAAGTGTACATTTTGTAAAATTGGGAATTATCACTACCTTGTAAAATAGTATATTTGTATCATTAGTCTGTCATTTCTGTTACTTGAATCCTAGATTTTTTTTGTCATCATGCTTTTGCACTTGAAAATGCAAGCAAGACAAGTGCATTAGTTCATGTTGGGATCATGAGCATGAATATAGGTCCTGCATCACTTGTTTTAACTATTTATTTTGCAATGTTTACATTTTTGTATCTCGTACAAATAAATCCAATGTTGTGACCACAAAATGCAGACATAGCTAGTATACCATGCTTTTGTGCCTTTTTTTCTTTAGAGGAAAGAGAATTTCGGTTTCACGGATGAAGAAATGTGCCATTTTACAAGTGATGATCTTCCCTCTTGAGATGTTGACCGTATTTCATTGGTTTTTTTTTTTTTTTTTTGCCACCTTGTCTTACCAAGAATAGCATGTTAATTCTTAATGCCTCCACCGTGATGTCCTCCATCAGAAGGTATTTACGTGAAGTTCTTTAAGAAATCTAGCAGAAGACCTATGGCTCTAAGAATATGGCTCAGTTTCTGCTCCTCTGATTGAGTCAGCCGAACGCTCATTTTTTTGTCTTTAGCTGTTGCTGGTTAACCAGTCTGAAGGGAGCCGTTCGGGGCTTTGACAGATATTATCTTGGAGGAAACCTCAGTCTACAGGTCATAAACATTGTCAGCCATCTTGTTTATGAATGCTGAAATTTCTACATCCTCAGTCCAGTATCTTCAAATAAATGACACCTTTTCAAACAGCCTTTTTAATGAAATGAGCGACAGCTGTCAGTTTGGCTAAAGTAATTTGAACTTGCTTTAATTTTCTTGGAAAATAAGTACACGAGTTTTCAGTTGTGATATCGCAGACATGAATGTTTTGTTGTTCTTACAATGTTTAGGGAGATGTATACAAGTTTACAGGCCGTCTTCATTTTATTCTGTTAAATGAAAGTCCATTAACTTTTAGTTCAATAATGCAGGAATTTGCTTTCGCCACCAGAGGGGGTGAGTTCTTCCATTTGACACCATTTCAGCTCTTCCTGCCATAAAACCCAGGGGAAGTGGTTAGTTTGAGAGGCTGCAATGGCTCTGCTGTGAGCACCACTTGATTAGTTTGGCAGTTGTTGGGCTCACTGGTAACTCGGAAGCATGTGACCTGCTTGGCCGTATATGCCATGTGACTAAAATGACATTCTCAATGTTGATGCTGATACATGCCACACAAAGTATTTACATTTATGGGGAATGAACCTACAAATTGCTTGCTTGTAGTTGTCTCCGCATATTAGGCTGGGATTGGATTTAATATTTTAACTATATCTTCCAACAAATGACCATATACATTGTGTATTACTGGGTAAATAATGAATGTCTGTGGAGCCAGGACCAGAATTTGAAGAATACGAGACAGTCTGACGGTGACCCGTGATTTCTTTTAAATATTTTTGAAAGAAGTCTCAGTTGTCATAAATGCTGCAGTTATTTGATAAAAAATGCAGTAAAAACACTAATATTGTGAAATATCATGTTTTCTATTTTAATGTATTTTAAAATGCAATATATTTCTTGTGATGCAAAGCTGAATTTTTAGCAGCCATTCAGTATCACATGACGCATGGAAACTTCTTCCAGGATTCTTTAATGAACAAAGAAACACCATTTATTTGAAATAGACATCTTTTGTAACATTATAGATGTCTTTACATACACTTTTGATCCTTTTAATACATCTATAAAAATATGAATCCCCCCCCTCCCCCTATTTTTTAACAGTAATGTATGTTGACAAACTTAGAAAAATCTTACAAAATGTTTGTCATGTTTATTTTGTTTATTTATTGTTTTCTTAGATGGAGTTCATGAGCTTATGATTAAAGACAGAAAAGTGTAAAGTTTAGGATCTTGTTTAAAGACAGCTTATATACAAATTAGCAAAGAACAAAAACTAATTTCAGGTTTGTGGTAATTTAAGCATTTATAAGTTATATATTCATTTATTTAACTGAAAGTGCTTTGTATGTATGGTTATTGATCCCATTTAAAACAAAATATTTCTTCAATACCTCAAATTGTGACATTATGGCCTGGTTCCACAAACTGGGGTTAAATTAAACCAGGATTAGGCCTTTTATAAACATGCCTTTATATATATAAAAAAAATTACTGGTAAGTTTCTTGAGACAAAATAATGGCACGGACATATGCTGATTAGATTTCTATATATGCTAAAATCGCTATTGTTAATGATTTTTGTTCTTGTGCACATATTGACTCTTTATTAAGTTTAATATTCCTAAAATAGAAAGACACAAAAATAATTCAACTCTTTGTGCAGAAAAGACAATTTCACATTTCAGATGTAAAAAAAGGCCTATGAAAAGCTGAAAAACAAACCGCTACACTGAATTAAAAAAAGTGTTGAAGATCTGCTGCCGTGTCAGAGACACCCATGTGTGATTCTCGTTCTTCAGGGCTCGCAGATCAAAGTCTCCACCACAAACTTGTTTTCAAAATGGCGGATCTTGTGGCAGTTCAGAGCCTCACGCTTCTGCATACCTGCAGTGAAGCACATTCAGCTTTTAGAAGTTTGAAAGTATGCACAGCTATGGTGTAAAACTGGATCTTACATGGATTCAGTTTATGGCAGGCCAGCACATTTCAAATGTACTTGCTTATACAGTGAACATAATGAGAGAAAATACGGTCCTTTTCACTTATGCCCGTATTAGTGCTTATTTATGCAAAGACATAACCAATCTTTCCTGTAAACAGTCTTATCAAAGGGTTTGTTTGTGTACACTTACCCAGTATGGTGTCTCTGCGCTGCAGTCTGTACGTGTCTTTGTCATTGCACATGTTATTGATGTAATAGCCCAGATCACTGGTGCTGTCCAGCTTCTCTGTCACCATCATCTGTTCATGCAGCAGGTACGACTGAGGAAGATACATTCCTGCCTGCAAAAAACACATAGAGAACGTAAACCTAAAGCCAGGGACACACTGTGAGCCGATGTCAAATAACTCTCGGCAACCAAAGATGACTATTGTTGCCTCTCGTTTGAAAAATCTGCGCTTCAACACAAAAAAAGGATAACTGCCGATGTATCAGCAGAGGTATAGTCTATTTACGTCATTCAAAAAGGGAAACCAAAACTACACTGTAAAATATTATATGATCAATAAGTAATGATAACGTGTGTTTACACTGCTTTAACTCATCAAAATAAATTAAGCGATTTTAACTTCTTTTTTTAAGTTATTCAAGATTTTTTTAAGTCAGTTTAATGTAATTTAAGTTGAAATGACTAAAACATCCAAGTTGATTGAACTTAAAAATGTAAAGCAGCAACCTTTTTTTACAGTGGACTAGAGATACACAAACCAAAAACAGCAGCGCTTGCTTACCATTTTGAATATCAATAATGCTGATCACTTTCTTCATTCTAGTCGGCTGATGTTATTATGAAAATATTTGTGCATTCGAATGCTACGGTAAGATCTTGTAAAACTTGACTTTGTTACTTGCTTTCATCACTTTCTCTTTTATTCTCATGCAACAGCCAATCAGAGTTCTCTCTCTCATCGAAGGCACTGACGTCGATTCAACATGCTGAATCAGCCCAAACAGTGTGTGGAACACACCGAAAAAACTAAGCCAACTGATGCTCAAAAACGGCCCAACGGCTGAACGTTGTTGTGTGTCCCGGGCTTAACGTCTGAAATGCATTTGTGTGAAAAAAACCTCCAACACATTCATGCAAAAACAAGTAAGAACCACTTATTGACATGGATTCACAGCGTCTCCTTGTTTACCTTGATGTTGACCAGGAACTCGTGGAAATCTTTGGGTGGCATGACGACAGAGGTGTTCAGGGCGATGATGTAGCATTTGTTCAGATTCAGGTCGAGATAAGCAGTCAGCCTCTGAAAGCAAAGAATGACATACAGGTTTATTCACATGGACCCAGAGAGATGCACTTAAGACTGACAACATTATTTTAGTAACCAAATATTCAAAATTGAGGGGGGCCAGAAGTAAAAATGTAAAAACTGGTCACTGAAAAATACATATTGATAATCTAGATGACTTTTTTCTGACAAAAACTGGTGATATTTGCAGCATTTTAGTGTTGCTTAGCATTGAAAACCCATAAATAATCATGCAAGTAGTTTTTTGTGCATTTATTTGATCAAAATACAGTAAAAACAGTAATATTACGAAATACTATTACAAATTAAAATGACTGGTTTTTTTATTTAATTCTTTTTTAATATGTAATTTATTCCTGTGACGGCAAAACTGAATTTTCAGCATCCTTACTCCAGTCTTCAGAGTTACATGATCCTTCAGAAATCCTTCTAATATGCTGATTTGGTGCTCAAGAAACATTTCTAATTATTATCAATGTTGAAAAGAAAAGTATTTATTTGAAATAGAAGTCTTTTGTGACATTTGTCTATTACAGTCACATTTGATACATTTAGTTCATCCTTGCTAAAAGTAGTAATTTCTTAAAAAAATAAATTTAAAAAAAGCCTTACAGATCCAAACTTTTCCGAAAACAGTTTTTTTGTGGTTTTGGGATAAAATAACATATTGTAATTAATTATTGCACGTAATATATACCGAAGGGGTCCCTTGTCTCTTCAATATATCTATATCCTTTTGAGTGATTTACATTTATGATTTATAATCAACGTATTAATTAAAGATCAATATTTCTCCTTTATACAAAATGTTCTTTTCAGGTATTCTTTAATGTCTGTATTAAATATCCGAGGGTGGCCGAGGCGAGGGTCTGGCGGTGGCCCCTGCCAGGAATGCAGTAACAGTGCTTGCTCATTTAGCCTGGCTTCCAGAAATGAAATATGGACTTGTTTTGTAGGAATTGGCCTCTAAACATGTGTCAATACACATATCTGTGTTTCTAGCTTACCCTGACAGCTATAGGTCACAGGGGTCATAGTAATCAATAGTTAAAGTGACCTTTTTTTAGTCATCTTCATTTATATAGCGCTTTTAACAATGTAGATTGTTCCAACAATTTTAGTTAAAGTGCACTTTACTGTTCAATATTAAAGTGTCCTCTCACTGAGAGAAAGAACGTATTATCTTGATGTTTTGGGAAGAGTCTACTGTTTATAGTTAGAGCCAGACCAAATCCAACCTTGAAGGAGCTGTGTGTCTGTGTGCGTGTTAGTATTCTTGGTTACAGGTTAAGGAACAACTGGCATTATTGGAGATTGACAGACTGTTGAAACGGAGTTCTTCTGATCGATGGAGATATGCTTCTGTCATTTCTTAGCCTATCAGAATCATTCAACCAAAGGTAATGATGTAGCTTATTGTAGGTTGAATTTGCATTAATGCACTACATCCTGGTAGGACTGATGATATGTGTGGTGGTGGTTATGGCTGAACACTGTGTGTGTGTGTATTTTTGCACCATTTTGAAGTCGTGCAGGATGCCAGCTGGATCGCTGTCCTTGAACTCAGGCACTGGCACTTGGATGAGCTCCACCTCATCATCTTCGAAAAAGCTCACATTCTCTTCAATCTGCCTCAGCGGCATTCCCACCTCCACCTCCTCATCAAACTCATACTCTTCATCCAAGTACTTCATCCCATAGACAAACACCTCCTCCTCCTGTGGAGTTAGAAATACATATATAGAGTAAAAAACAAGCATGTTTATGTCTGCATCAACATTTCTAAGAACGGTTGGGTATACACTTCCCTGCCACAAATAATGGTGATTGGTTGAATTTGCATTAATTCTTGCAATCACGAGATCGAAAAATCGATGTTCTATGAAACCTATGATGACAAATGTTTGTCGACGACCTTTTTTATGACTAAAGTTGGGTGTACACTGCGGGATTCGGACACTTGGGAGGTCGTGAGCCATTGCACACGTTGCGAGTGAGTTAACCTGATAATCGCATCAAAGCCGCTGGTAAACGTCAAGACTGCACTGCGCAGTGAGCAGGCGGCAATCGCATGAGACTTTCACACTAACCACAGAGACTGCAGATTTCAATATTGTTGCAATCGCTTCAGATAGAAAAAAGAAAGAAAATAAAAAGACGAGCGTGCAAATGATTTGGTGAAAAGCAGAGGACATCACAGCCATTCAAACATTAAACATTTAAATTTCAACGAGATGTGGCTTTGCATGTTCGTGGTTTTCTTAGGTTCACGTTTCCCTCATTCATGTGTTGAGCGCCACCTTGAGGAGCCATGAAGTAGCGGCGCAGGGAGCAGGGAAATCTATTTAGAGCACCTTATTTTAATAATTTAAATATCAATATTTGGCGCCAACATATCAATTCTCGTATCGCACAGAGAAGGACAACGATATATCGCCCTACCGATATTTTGGCCCACCCTAAGTGTGTGTGTGTGTGTTTGCACACAATGTGGTTGCAGCCACATGGGCTTTTATGGATCTAGCCTATTGCCGCTTTTCCACTGCATGGTACGGATCGGTACGGCTCACTATTATGTGTCTATTTTGCACTCTTGATATTTAATCACCCCCTCATTGTTTTTTTTTTTTTTATTGTTTTTTTATGGCGTATTTGTAATTTGTACCACCAAAATATTCTCTGAGTTGTTGTATTTTTTGTACTTCCCATTCATTTCCTATGTCGGTTATTTTTGACCGCGGAGGAGCCAAGTGTGATTTTCCCCCCCGACCCTTTAAACATATCCTAATCATGTCCATGATTTTCTTTTGTGTGTTCACATAGCTAATGCGACAAAAGTCACCAAGTGTCATCCCGATGAAGCAAAAAAATTCAAAGCGTACAAATTTTCGGTCACTTCTGACCCAGAGGGTTAAAGTGTAATCGACTCAGTCTGTGATCCTTCATGAGCATTAATAAATCCAAATATGGATCTCGACTTTGTGATTATGGTTGCTGAATAAATGCACTTACGCAGCACTGTGTGAAAGTTCAAAGACTTTTTTGCTGTTGTTTTAATAGAAAAACATTAATGTAATTTAGAATTATTAAAATTATTATTAGGGATTACACTGCTTTAGATTTTGAAAGATTTTCTTGTTTTACCAGTTTTCATAATGTAGAGAGTGTTCATTTATATGATAAATAGCCTATAATAAATCAGGAAACTAAATGAGGTCAAATAAACCATGAGTATGAGTTTGTGCTTATAGGTTTTAAAGTGCAAAAAAATCTGATGAAATGTAACAAAATACTCAATTCTCAAATGACAACAATCATTGCTATTATAGTTTTATGCAAAATAGGTGTGATTGTCAAATGAACCATTATGCAGTGTGATGAAAGTGTGTCTAAGTTTTCATTGACTAAAACTAGATTAAACAAGAACAGGATGAGGTTGACAAAAAAAAAATTGACATGACTAAAACTAAATAAGAAATATAGCAGACGAACAACACTACTACTGATATGTGTGTGGTGGTTATGGCTGAACACTGTGTGTGTGTGTATTTTTGCACCATGTTGAAGTCATGCAGGATGTCAGCTGGATCGCTGTCTCTGAACTCAGGCACTGGCACTTTGATGAGCTCCACCTCATCGTCTTCGAAAAAGCTCACATTATCAGGTTTCTTAGGGAAAAACAGCAAAGCTTGATACAGAAGAACTTACAGGAACAGATCTATAAATGTCCTGCTGTCTGAAGAAGAGATTGACTGATATTGATTTTTTATAACCGATACAATACCAATTATTTGCATGTTTATGTGCCCGATAACCGATATATAGAACTAATAGTTATTTATTGTTTTGTTTCTGTTTTTACAGTTATAACATCAACACTGAACTGAACAAACTTTTTTATTATTAACACTTTTTAAATATTGTAATTTCTGAAATGTCACTCCCTCCTAGCATACAAAACAAAACAACTATACATCAATAAATGGAGTCTGAAATCTGAAAAAATATATGGTCACAATTATAGCATGTATCTAAACCGCCTGAATAAAAAACATTACTACTTTAGTGTATCTAAATTATCCTAGTTGCATCTTTTTATTTATAACAATAGCATTAATATTAACAACAGGTAAAAAACATTTACATTACAAAATGTAATGGTTTCAAATGGAGAACATTAATACATGACAGGGGAATCTATTAACTCCCCATAAATATAATACCCATAAATATAAGTATTTGTTTTAAAAGGTTTATGTGTTGTTTGATAGGCTAAAGAGAAAAGAGAACGGAACACGTTGGAATACGCAAACATTGTCAGAAAAATAAACTAAACGGCGAATACATCATAGCAATTATAGAGTCCATCTCATCTGGCATGTTATAAGAATTATTAATAATGTTTTGTCGGTCTAGATCATGAAGTATCTGCTGAAGGAGCGCTGTTTTAAATCTGTGCGTTTATACAGAACTTCTCTCGTGGCGTCTGAAATGAGTGGATTTTGTTAAGCTGCATACGGTGGCCATGCTGGAGCATTAACCTAACTAACCATAGACAAGAGAGAGAGAATTAAATTCAGTGCTTTTATTTAAAACATGCACTCATTCATAGCTGTTTTATTTAATTCATGTAAACTTGCATCTTTATTGGGACAGGGACTTGACCGATTCCGTGAGTTCATCTCTATTTTTTAGCGCCAAGTTTAAACTGCATATGAAGCATTTAAGTTACATATCTCATTTGTGCATTAATGTCTGTTATTTTAAATAAAGTTTATTAATGAAGGGAGACAAGTTATTTTACCTTTAAACACTGTTGTTGACTCATCTCCCCTCAGACACAAAGCTGTAATGGCTTTAATTCTCACACGGCCACAAGATGGCGCCATTTATCGGTAAATCCGATTTTACAAAACCGATACCCGATTATGAGAAAATGCTTAAATATCGAGAAAAATATTGGTAAAACTGATTATCGGTCGATCTCTAGTCTGAAGCATTCTGCCTTGTTTTGGAAGAAAACTTTCTCTCAAGATGTGATCACTTTATGAAGAAATGTCTTTTCCTGTGTTAATACCAGTGACTTGTTTCTTAGAAGTTGCCACCCCGTAATGTAAAATGGGCGGCTTGCATCGTCGCAGAAACATGTTTATTCTATGTAGTCTGGGTTGTATCTTGCATACATTTAATCATGGTTGAGAATTGCTTTATGAAACAGGCTTAGACTGATTATGACATAAATATAAAAACGAATCAAAATAAAGATAAACAGTGACACAAGACGACAGGATGTTATGTTTTGTTTTTGATATCCCCATGGTTAAAGCAATGATCTCACCTCCAACACATAGTACCTATACAGGTAGGCTCCTCCCACCACTATGCCAGAGAGCACGAGAGCCAATCCCAGACAGAAGCACCAGCACCACACCTTAGACTGTTGACGCACCCACACCGCTGCTTCAGGATCCTACCAGACAAATCACACAGTATAATGATGGTTAACAACACTTAATAACTTAATAAATCTACTATTTGTTTTACTAGATTCAGCAAGGATGCAGTAAATTGATCCGAAGTGACAGTAAAGATATTTATAATGTTACAAAAAGATTTCTATTTCAAATAAATGCTGTTCTTTTTAACTTTCTTTTCATCAAAGAATCCTGAAAAAAATTTCACAAAAATATCAACCAACAAGAAATTTTCGACATTGATAATGAGAAGAAATGTGCAATTTTTTTGAGCACCAAATCAGCATGTTAGAATGATTTCTGATGGATTAATGTGACACTGAAGACTGGAGCGGCTACTAAAAATTCAGCTTTGACATCACAGGAATGCATCACATTTTAAAATACATTAAAATAGAAAAGTTATTTTAAATTGTATTAATAATATTTCACAATATTACTGTTTTACTGTATTTTTGATCAAATAAATGCAGCCTTGATGAGCATAATAAACAAGACTTAAACCACAAGGACAGGTTAACAAGTGGTTTCTTAGAAAAGGAGTGATTTTCAAAGCACTAAAGGACAAAATATGAATTTACCTATTTGAAGAAGGTTCATTTTCCTTGTTTAAAAAAATCCCTGATTTTAAGCACTGTGTACTGTAAACAGCAAAAGGAAAAATGTCAAAACAGGACCTGACCTTCTCTTGACCTGTACCCTAAACCTTCAATCCAGACAGCAGATTGCCTTGAGATACACCGCACATGTAGAGTCAATTTAAACAGAAATTATGACTAATAAAAGTTATGAGAAAAAAATAACAAAAAATAGAAGTGAGAATCTCTCTGTTTCTCTGTTCCGGTTTCAAGTCAAATGTGTTAAAACAGTCAACTTCTGCATAGTCACGAGGAGGAATAATCAGCAACATTTAATCTATATAGGCCTAACACTTCCTCACTCAAACAATAACTGCAGACAGAAGCTCACACATGAATCAAAAGAGAAAGTGAAACAAGTTGTTTCTATTTGAAGAGCAGAGGGGGAATTCAAGTGAGACTAAACCCGAAAAGAGAGACACAGACAACATGTATAATGCAGGAGTGAGATACTGCCCCAATTAATCATTTCAAAGTGATCTACTCATTTAATCCAAATAGTTTATCCTCATTCAATATCTTGTAGTGGAAAAGCAAAACCAGTTTTTAGACTTTTTGCACATTCTCTCATTGACGTAACCACACAGACCCTTTATTGAGTACATGGAGGTGGATGTTGGATGGCCTTAACCAGGAAGTTCTGAGTCTTTTTAAAGCTTCTAGAAACTTTTGACTTCAGTCATTTCCTGACTCTACTGAGAAATCAGATCAAATATTGTTCTATATTGCATGCTTGTATTTTGCACTTTGGGTTCTTCTTTTGTATTCTTGGCTTGCAGCTCTGACTCCTTTTGCAATACACTCATTATCATAAACATGTTTGAGAGTGCACATATCAAACATGCCTCAACAAGTCTGTCTTTCACAACACATGAAAAGTCTCCTGGTACTACTGAGTGCAAGGCATTTCTAATGTGTGCTGTGAAAAACACAGCTAAACTATGTCTGGAAGAATCCCATTCGAAGAAATTCAACTATGTTTACTGCTTCAAACTCACAAAACACAAAAACGTCTTGGGCTACCACCACTGAGACATTTGAAGATGTTTTTTTTTTCAGTGTCATTACCGATTAATTCAATAGTGATATCAAAACAACTTTTCTTTCCTTCCCTCCCTAATCGCAAATACAAGAAATAAAGTTTCAGTTATGGACTGATGAACCCTAATGACACTTGAGCGTTGCATATATGTTGACAAAAATAAAGGTTTTTTTGGGCATTGATGATTCCACGAAGAACCTTTAACATACAATTGCAAAAGGTTCTTTATAGTGGAAAAGGTTCTTCTTCAGATTATTAAATGTTCACACACACACACAAAAGATTCACTGAATGGAAGAAATGGTTCTTCCATGGCAAAGCTGCGAAAAAAAAACCCTTTTGGAAACTTTATCTTTTTAGAGTGCAATATAGGCTACATCTGTAAACAAATATATTATAAATTACCATACTTTCATTTAATATACAAATGGATATTTTTCACATCCATGGTTATTTATTTAAATAAGTTATTATTCATTTAATTAAAATAAATTGAAAGCACTAAACTAAGTGATACACGTCTGTAGTCATGTTTAACATGGGTACATTTCCCTCTACACTTCCTGCTAAGTGGTCTATCGATGTTATTCTATTCTGTTCACAGTGCTCTCGAACTGAATATTCAATCCCTTCGGATTGAAATCTCGCTTGAGATGGCAGAATACAATGTGACGTCCGTGCAGCTAGGACACTTATGGTCGAATGAAATGCGTTTATCCATCTACATTTTTTCTGGGTTTTTCTTATTTTGAGGCCCCCTGGCAGAGGCCCCTGCGCACTTGCCCATAGTCCATCCTTGATTGGATTACTTTTGTGGACAGTCAAAATAAATCGATATTAAATTGGTTGTATTTGTGAGGACATTTTCAGATATTTGGCCCTTACAGTACACACAGAAAAAATGACTTTAAATACCCTCTGCATCTTACTTTCCTTCCTATTTGAAAGGGCACATTTTATCATTAAAATACAATGAAAGCAATGGTTCTCTATCAGCATACAGATAAATAATATAAATAATATAATACTATAAAATAAATAATACTATAAAATAAATAATAGGATGAGTGATATCCGTCTTTGACAAGCTTTGGGCCGTCAGCCATTTTATAACACTTTTGAACTGATCAAAGTCTGTTAAAACCATAGGTTAAAACAAAGAAACACTCTTCTGCATTTGAGATAGCCCACTCTAGCCAACTTCTCTCAAGATAAGAACAGCGTGCACACATTACTAGACTTTTCGATTAAAATAATTAAGACATTATTGGACGTATTCCTAATTCAATAAAAGTGAACAATATTTGTTAATAACGCACCTGTACATCAGGAATGAGGCTTTCCTTCTTCGGATCCTTAAGGGCGAGAGCCTTGTTAAAAGAAACTTTAACCATACTGAAGAGTCTCTGTAAGTTGTTATTTCCGTGAAAGCGAAAGAGAAGTGAGACAGAACTGAGAGCGTTTAGTTTCCTGATCAGCAGCAATGTTTGTGTGTGACGCACATGACAGATCACAGAGGCTCCCACTGCCTCTAGTGACAACTACTAGAAAATCAACTACAACACCTGGAAACAACACAGAAATAATTACTAGAAGATTACTACCTTTCGTTACTTGTAAGTGTGGAATAGAATAGATAATGTAGTAATTGTAACAACAACAACAACAACTAACAATGGAGTTAGCATGGAAGCCATACCTTCTCAGGGGTCCAAGATGACTTGAAATTATTTAAAATAAGACAAAACAAGCTTTGAATTAAGCTACATTTAAATTATTATCATTTTAATTCAAATTATTTTAGTTACTTAGGTAAGGATACAACTGTATAATAATAATAATATTTATGCAAATATTCTTATCGAGCTATCAAAAACGAATGTGGTTGGCTATTCTTCATCAGTAACCAGTAACACGTAACCAGCGGCGCCATCTATCAATTATACCAGCATAGCCTACTTGGACTATTAACGTTACCCCGCAGTTTTAAAAGAACTGTTTATGTAAACTCTGCAGATATTATTTTATTGACGACGATTGCATATTTCGGTCCTACTGCCAATAGGCGTCACTGTTTGACACATGCGTTTGCTTTTCATTTCTCACGCATGCGCAAGTAAGGAGAAACAGTCATGGCGGCGTCAGAGAAGCCCACGAAAGAAAAGCTTTTATCCACTCTGGATGATATTGAAGTTTTATCCAGGTTTGTCGTCATATATATTGCACATTTAGATGAAGAATAACCATTTGTGTGTTTTTTTAGCTGGCACAAAGCAGAATGATGATAAACTGCTTGTTCTTTCATTCATGAGATTTCCAGTGTTTACAGAACAGTTTCTGGATTAACGTTAGCGAGTAATGAATAACGATTAATGAATAAATAAAGCCCCACTCTCTCTTGTCCACCCCAGCCTACTGTTTTTACTCATAATAATACTACTGTTCACACACGGCTCCTCTTTCGTTCTTTTATTTTCGTGTTTCTGTTGTAGAGAGTTGATAGAGATGCTAGCACTGTCCAGGTCACAGAAACTGCCCCAGCCTGGAGAGGACACACAGGTGAGAGACACTGTTTACACACACACACACACACATAGACAATACTCAATCAGTGACTGAGATTACATGCTTTAAAGTAACTGAAATTAAATTACATTTGCTAAAACATTTAATTATAGTCAGTATTAAAATGATGAATTACTATAAATGCTTGCTTGACTATTAGATGGCAGTGACTGTATGCTGCTGATTCTGTGAACAGATACTGGAGCTGTTAGTGCAGAGAGATAAAGAGTTCCAGGAGCTGATGCAGACGGCGATGGAGCAGGGCAGAGTTCACCAGGAGATGCAGACGCTGGAGAAAGAAGTCGAGAAGAGAGACAGTGATATCCAGCAGCTCCAGAAACAACTCAAAGAGGCCGAGCACATACTGGTGACTGATTTGAATCATTTGATTTGAGGCACTCACAAAAATCATTGGTCATTTGAAATGACAGAACATTACCAATGCATTTTGATTAAACTCACATTCTTGAACACTTTTAAGTATCCTGGTTATACATCGTATATGTACGAACTAATAGAAATAACAGTAAAGTATACTTAATGACAAGAAACTAACCCTATAATCAGTACACGTTGTTAATTAATATTGTTGTAATATTACTTGTTTGTGTATTTACACCATAACAAAGACAACTTAAAATAAAGTGCAACTCATCCAATCTTTTTTTTTTTTAATTTATAAAATGTGTTTTATATTTATGAATCTGAGATAATAATTATGTTTTTCATTCATCATCAGGCCACTGCTGTCTATCAAGCCAAAGAGAAACTGAAGTCTATTGAAAAGGCCAGAAAAGGTATTGTTGTGTTACACAAAATAAGTTGCACTGGGTCAAAATAAATTGCATTATTTGAGAGACAAAAAAAAACAGAAGTCGCATTGGTGTGTAAGTCACATTTTATTACACTCTGTAATAATAAAACAAAACATTTACAAACATTATAAACATGTATTTTATTAGTTCCCCCTGACTCCACAACAAATCCTTTAAATTTGATTGTATTTAGAACAGAACAGGAAGGAAAAATATAAGAATAAAACAACATAAACTATAGTGGCATTCATTATAAGCAACATTTATTATATACAGCACGCTTAAACAAATGTATTCAAAGCAAAGCTGCAGCATTGCAGGATGTTTTGAAGTTGCAGCATGTTTCAGATAATAAAAAATGTGACTTATATTCCAGTGTATGTGTTCATTATCAGTAGAATTGATAGTCATAAGACTGAAATGCAAGTAATTGTAGTTTTTTGTTTTACTTGATATTTACTCGATATACCACAACATTTATGTATACAATTTCCTCAATGTTTCTTCTTTTTTTGGTTGTTCTGTTTGTTTTGATTAGGGAGTATCTCTTCAGAGGAGATCATCAAGTACGCTCACAGGATCAGTGCCAGTAATGCAGTGTGTGCTCCTCTGAACTGGGTTCCAGGTAAACAGACTACTACTTCCTTCTGCATCGTGTTCTTCCATTCCTGTCTTTCCTGTCATTCCTATCTGACTTGATTTACTCTGAAACATTTCCAATGACTTGATTGGCTTGTGTCTGATTGTATCTGTTAGCTCATATGATGTGCATGTGTGTGTAGGTGACCCCCGCAGGCCGTACCCCACTGATCTGGAGATGCGCAGTGGAATGTTGGGTAACATCAGCAACATGTCCACCAATGGAGTCAACGGACACCTGCCTGGAGATGCATTGGCTGCTGGGAGGTTACCAGGCAGGTTCACTCTTCTGTTCAGATGTTTGATTCATCTGTCCATGCTCTCTTCTCTTCTTAGTTGTCTTTATCATAAGCCCCTTTCGCACAGAGATTACAGATAATGTGTTGCGGGATCTTTTGATTTTGGTTCATTCACACTGCCAGTGATTTTCTGGAACCTGTGCATGCGTTCACACACATCCCGTAAAGACATGTGATAACAGGATGACAAACACATGCGTCATCACTACGACACACCCCCTACGGCATTAGTCCTGTCTTTTGTTCACGCAGGCCGTGTTGCGGGACTGATTCCAGCGATGTCACTAGGTCCCCATCCTGGGATCAATCCCGGGAGGTGTTTGCGTTCACTTCAGCAATTCAATGGCAATTTTCTGGGATCAACGCTCTGTGTGAAAGGGGCTATATACATATTATAATGTGTGTGATTATGTACTTTTTTTTGCTAATGTATATTTCTCCTTTTGCTTTTAGATGTACTAACCCCACAGTACCCTTGGCAGTCCACTGATGTTTCCATGGGGATTCTGCCTCCTCACCATGGCAACGATTTTGGCCTGGAGCCACCTGGTCATAACAAAGAAAATGAAGATGATGTTGAGGCCATGTCAACAGATTCCTCCAGCAGCAGCAGTGACTCAGACTGAATGTGTGTGTGTGTGATGTGTCCACAGTAACATGAGTTTGTCCACCTGAACTGATTGAAAGGTATGAAAGTATGTTGTCTGCATCAATTTATCTTGTCTCTGTGATTGTGGAGATCCGGATGGCAACATAAAATGCCTTGAAGAGGACCAAACCTACACAGGTCCTCTCTTAAGCAAAACCTCATACAGCTGGATATGTTTTACCAATTTGTTTGATTTTTCATTCTCCAGATGCCTACAGTCATCATTTGTTTGCATAATTTCATTCCACTGGCCTCAAATGTCACCAGTGCGTCGTTTTCATTGTGTGCAGGATGACAGACTCATTTGCATTTTGCATATTTATAATCTAGTGAAGCGTTAATTTCTGGTTTACTGTTGGAATATAAATAGCATTGTAAATACCTCTGAACTTTCAGACTGTAAATAAAAGTTTTTTTTTTTTAAGATTATGGTTTTGTTTTTTTACATACCGGTAGTCTATTTTGTGTGTATACAGAAGGGCAGTATTCTTTGTAAATGGTTTGTTTCCTCTCTGGAGCTGAGGTAAAGTAATATAGGAATGTGTCTGATTTAAATGACTTTTTAGGTCCAGTTATCCCATGTGTGTGTGTGTGTGTATATACACTCACCGGCCACTTTATTAGGTACCCCATGCTAGTAACGGGTTGGACCCCCTTTTGCCTTCAGAACTGCCTCAATTCTTCGTGGCATAGATTCAACAAGGTGCTGGAAGCATTCCTCAGGGAGTTTGGTCCATATTGACATGATGGCATCACACAGTTGCCGCAGATTTGTCGGCTGCACATCCATGATGCGAATCTCCCGTTCCACCACATCCCAAAGATGCTCTATTGGGTTGAGATCTGGTGACTGTGGAGGCCATTTTAGTACAGTGAACTCATTGTCATGTTCAAGAAACCAATTTGAAATGATTAGAGCTTTGTGACATGGTGGAAGTAGCCATCAGAGGATGGGTACATGGTGGCCATAAAGGGATGGACATGGTCAGAAACAATGCTCAGGTAGGCCGTGGCATTTAAACGATGCCCAATTGGCACTAAGGGGCCTAAAGTGTGCCAGGAAAACATCCCCCACACCATTACACCACCACCACCAGCCTGCACAGTGGTAACAAGGCATGATGGTTCCATGTTCTCATTCTGTTTACGCCAAATTCTGACTCTAACATCTGAATGTCTCAACAGAAATCGAGACTCATCAGACCAGGCAACATTTTTCCAGTCTTCAACTGTTCAATTTTGGTGAGCTCTTGCAAATTGTAGCCTCTTTTTCCTATTTGTAGTGGAGATGAGTGGTACCCGGTGGAGTCTTCTGCTGTTGTAGCCCATCCGCCTCAAGGTTGTGCGTGTTGTGGCTTCACAAATGCTTTGCTGCATACCTCGGTTGTAACGAGTGGTTATTTCAGTCACTGTTGCCCTTCTATCAGCTCGAACCAGTCTGGCCATTCTCCTCTGACCTCTGGCATCAACAAGGCATTTCCGCCCACAGAACTGCCGCTCACTGGATGTTTTTTCTTTTTCGGACC